CTTATAAGATAGTCTTAATTTGATAGAGAGAGACATATGGTTGAAACAGGGTCTCCCTTTTGGACCTAGGGCTCATGGGTTAGACTAGGCTAGGTCACAGTTGAGCCCTAAGGATCTGCAAGGTTTTATTTGTTGTGCCAACTAAGCCTGCTATTTTATAATCTGGCGCATTAAGGCTCTCACCTTGACTAAAATGGTAGGATTTGGTTTCCATGGTGTGTGTGTGTGTGCGCGTGTGTATGTAGTCCATGAATGAGACTTATCTCCAGCAATGAGTCAGTTCGTGGTTGGGAAATAGTAGTAGGCTAAGAACAAAAGATACACTGTCCTTTCATAGCCAAGAAGACTTCCTTGAGGGCAGGTAGAGGCAGCGAGGGCCAAGGTGACTGCCAGCCCTTATCTTGTCAGATGGGAAAAGACAATGGGGACTTCTGAGCTCTCCAGCTGGGTCAGATTTCTACTAGAGTACAGAGGGGTGCTTGGGGAGACCTGAGGCTTAGATAACTAGGCCAAAGATGTGCCTTCTACTGCTAGGGTTAGACTAGGCATTTGTCTCTTGTGTCTTTGACTTCTTCCCACGATGCTTTTGACTCAGCAAATACATGCCAGGCAGTAGAGGTGGAAGAGAAAGGCCCCAGCAGACCCTGGTCTCTGTGAGCAACTTCCAAAGGCCTCGTGGGTAATAGCAATGGCCTCTCACTCAGGAGTAGGAAACAGATTCGTCTTCACAGGGAGATTCAGACTTTCCTGTGGGAGGGATGGAATCAGGTGGGGCAGACCCCAAGGTGAGGAAGCTGTGGACAGAGTGTCAGGTGTGGTGACACAGGCCTGAAATTGTAGCACACAGGAGCCCGAATCAGGAGGATCAGGAGTTCCTGGTCAGCCTGAGGTACATAGTGAGACCCCAGTTTCAAAAGCCACCCTTCCAAATGTGGGTCTATATTCAAAACTCCAGCCTAGCACTGCTTAATAACCTTTTCCACTGAGTCCCTGAGTCACTGTCGAGCTCATGACCATGACTTACACGTTTCTTGGTAGTCTGTTAATGCACACAGGTGTTGGCCCGCTGTAGAGCTCTTCTGTCTTTCTTCCTCATGAGAACTCGACCAGCTGGTTAAAGTTTCACAGTAGAGCAGGTTGAGAACAAGGCTAGGGTTCTCGGAGCTAGGGAAGCATAAACATAGCTGGTCCCCAACCCCTGCCTTCCAAGTCACCAGGTGTGACAGTGTTGCATGAGTTCTGCCCTAGCGTTAGCTCGGCCTTACGTGAACATCTCGTTCTTTGGGTTGTGTAACAGAAACCTGGTGTAACTCCTCCGAATCAAGGCAGAAGTTCAGGAGCCGTATGCCAGGGCCACTGCTGTCTGTGCCGGCTGGTCAGGTTCCAAGGCCATTCCAGTGGGAGACCCAGGTCAGGGACCCCTTGGCATGTCTCATTCCCCTCAGCACAGCCCCACGGGAAACTTTGTACACCTGAAAGGGGAAGGAACTGAGTGTGTGAATGCAAACCTGCTGAGCTTGGGGCTGGGGGGAGAGCTCTGGGGCTAAGAGCACTTGCTGCTCTCACAAAGGACCTGAGTTCAGTTCTCAGCACCCACATCTGGAGGCTCACAACCATTTGTAATTTCAGTTCCAGGGCATTTGAGCCTCTGGCCTCCGTGGGCATCTGCACTCACATAGACATACCCACATGCCAACATGCAGTCTACACCTAATTAAAAACAACAAAAATAGGCCGGGCATCGGAGTGCGTGACTCAGGAGGCAGAGGCAGGCAGAGTGAGTTCGAGGCCAACCTGGTCTACAAAGCAAGTTCCAGGACAGCCAGGACCACATAGAGAGACCCTGTCTTGAAAAGTAAAATGAAATGAAATAAAATAAAATACATGGGGCTGGAGAGATGGTTCAGCAGTTAAGAGCACTGACTGCTCTTCAGAGGATCTGGGTTCAATTCCTGGCTCTCACAGCTGTCTGTAACTCCAATTCCAGGACTCCTGACACCCTCACACAGACACACATGAAGGCAAAGCACCAATGCACATAAAATAAAAATAAATTATTAAAAAGTGTAAGAAAGTTTTTAAAAAATAGTAGACAAGTAATTAAAAACAAAAACAAAAAGAAGCCAGCCAGGGTTTCACAGAGAAACCCTGTCTCGAAACGACCCCGAAACAAAGAAAATAATAATAATAATAATAATAATAATAATAATAATAATAAAATAATCAACTCTTTTTTAACTGCCATGCTTTCAGCCTAGTTGCTCCAGGCTGCAGTTGATAGCTTGTGATCTGAATTTCAACCACCTTTGATCACTTCCCATGATGTCAGGAACCATGTGGGGCCTCGGTCTTCTCGCCTGGGAAATGGGGTGTGATGTGTGGTAACTGTAGTTGGTGGGTTTGAAGAATTACCGTGGCAGGTGCTCAGAGGCAAGCAGCATAGAGTCCTGATGATGCTGGTTGTGCATACTTCAGACCAAATTGTTGCTAGCAGTCTAGTCTGCTTCCCGAGTGCCAACCTGCTGATGGGGCCCTAGGAGGGAGAGGGGGAGGGGGAGGGAAGACAATGAGAAGTTGCAAGTGGCGAGCGTTGGCAGTCAGGCCTCCCTTTTCTGAATTTCCTGAAACCTGTCAACCCAGATAGCAACATAACTTAACCTGACAGAGTTTTTTATTTTATTTTACTTAAAAGATGTATTTATTTTTATTTTATGCACATGAGTATTTGTATCTATACACACTGTGTGTGTGTGTGTGTGTGTGTGTGTGTGTATGTGTGTAAATATACCACATGCATGCAGTGCTTACAGGTGCCAGGAGAGGGCAGCAGATCCCCCCGGAACTGGAGACAGTTGTAAACAATGTGGTTTGCTGAGAGTCAAAACCAAGCCCTCCAAAAGAGCAGTCAGTGCTCTTAACCTCTGAGCCATCTCTCCAGCCCCCGGAATAAGGTCTTTACGGGTCTGCTCCTAACGAAAAGAGCCCACAGGCTGGGTTAAAGCTCCTTTTGTGTTGCTCACCTGCTCTCCACGCAGGCTTAACCACTGAGGGTCAACAGCGCACCTGTCACCCAGATGCTATTATTTTAGGTAGAGTCTTTTTTCTTTTTCAAGATAGGGTTTCTCTATGTTACAGTCCTGGCTGTCCTGGAACTCACTGTGTAGAGCAGGCTGGCCTCAAACTCACTGAGATCCGCCTGCCTCTGCCTCCCGAGTGCTGGGATTAAAGGTGTGCACCACCACCAATTAGGATAGGTAGTGTCTTAATGCTTCACTCCCCAGGATTATTTTTCTAGCTTGTTAAATACAGCCCTGCTTGTTGGTCAGAACATGCAGTGGTTATGTCAGAGGCGGCTTTCATTATTCCACAGCGATCGGGGCACCCTGTGTCGACTAACATGCAGACTTTGCTTATACGTAACTTACTTAGCCACAGCGCCTAGCTGACCTGTGAAGGGTGATGGTGGGTACCTGTGGATGAATCAGAGGCCCAGGGTCTTCCTCTCGATACAGAGGGAGTTGAAGCCTGACCCAGGCTACATGAGACCCTGACTCAAAACAGCAAAAACAGAAACAATCCCATCACACTTGAAAGTTTAAATAAATATTAAGGCCAAATAAAACAAATTTATTTCTCCTAAGTCACTACTAAAAAAGTAGTCATCGTCACTCTTTCTTATTGACCCTCCATACGACTTTCTTATAGTTTCCCATGGACAAAACTTGGATAGTGGAGGATTGGGTTGTTTTCCTGGGAAAATGCTGTTTTGATGTTGCTGTAATTCCTTCCCTGCTCCATTAGTAAAGATCTGCCTCCGTTCGAGTTTATGACTTGGTCTTTGCTTAGGAAAGAGAATATTAACTAATATTTATCATCTCTGTGAGTACATGTGAAAAGATTATTCTGAGTGCATGCTGTTTTACATGCCGTAGCCTGGTTTAGCGGAAGGAGTATGATCCCACATTTTCCAAAGAATTAAAACTACATACAAGGTTTCACATGACTCAGGACCTCGAGCTTTCCCTTTGGTTCTGCTTACCCTGATCCCCAAACCTTGGCTGAGGCCCTGGAGGTCAGCTCAGTGGCGGGCACTTGCCTAGCAAGCACACAGCCCAGAATTCCAGCCCTTACACTAAAAACAGAACAGAGTAAAATCCTGAACTGACTGCTGCCTTGACCAGCATTTGGCTTTTAAATTAATTCCTGGCCCAGTATCATACAAACATACACCTGTTTGTTTTTCTGTACACACCAACTCTCTAAAGTGGCTTAGCTACTTTGTAGTCACTAGAAATCATTCTCTTGAATTTTTAGTTCTAAAACCTGCCTGGCAATCTCCTGAGATGGCTGAGTGGGTGGAGGCTCCTGCTTCACAAGCTTGCACCCTGTATTTGATCCCCACAACCCACACAAAAGTCAAAGGTGAGGACCATCTCCATCAAGTTGTCCTCTGACTCCACTCATACACTGCAGCGTGCGCGCACACACACACACACACACACACATCACACATACCACACACTCTCAGGTACGTGCAAACTAATAATTAAAAAGCTTAGCGTATATTTGGGGCTGGAGAGATGACTCCGGGGTTAAGAGCACATATTGCTCTTGCAGCAGACCCAGGTTCTATTCTAAGCACCCACCCAGTGTTTCCCAACCTCCTGTAACTCCAGTTCCAGGGGATCCAATGCCCTCTTCTAAACTCCACAGGTACCAGGCACACATGTGGTATACATACACACATGCAGGCAAACCACTCATGCACATAAAATGAATAAATCTAAAATGTTTTGAGTCCATATTCCAGAATATACTTTGGAGAGGGGCTGAGGACTAACCCCAGGGTAGCCCTGGATGTGCTAAATTGATGTGTTACTTGCTTGCCCCTTGGAGGTATGGATGTGTGTGACATTTAGTAATTCCTGGGCAGTGTGTCTCTTTTAGATGCTTAAAAACCCTTGTCTGAAGGATGGTTCCCCTCTGTGCCTCCTTCTTAGGCCCCTGACATTCATGGGATTGCAGACTAAGAAGGCCCTGCTGATGCCCCTCATGCACCCAGCTCGTCCTTTTAGGGTCTCAAACCATGACCGAAGCAGCCGGCGTGGGGTGATGGCCAGCAGTCTGCAGGAGCTCATCAGCAAGGTACTGTGGTCACTCAAGTGCCCTCGACCAGCTCAGGGTCCAGGCCCTGGGCATTAAGCCAATGTCAAGGCACAGGAGTCAAGAAAAACAGCATATCTGCTGGGTAGTGATGGTACACTCCTTTAATCCCAGCACCCCGGAGGAAAGAGCAGGCAGATCTCTGCATTGGAGGCCAGCCTAGTCTACAGGGCAAGTCCAAGGACAGTCAGGACTACATGGAGAGAGCCTGTCTCAAAGAAAGACAGGGATGAAAAAGGGAGGGGGAAGGGAGAGAAAGAAAGAAAGGAAGAAAGGAAGGAAGGAAGAGAGAGAAAGAAGAAAGGAGAGAGAGAATCAAACTCATCAGCCCCTCTCTAGGTTTCAGGGCCTTGAGGGAGATTAACAGGCAGGTGAAGGATGGGTCTGAATCCCCCAAGAGCCACTGCATCTCTGCATCATGGGAGATGGGGTCTGGCATGAATGACTTAACAGCATCCAGCAACTTAAAACATTACTTTCCTTCTTTGACAAGGGTGAAATAGACCTGGGAAATCTGACCAGGATGGGTAGCCCTCACGCTGAAACAGTACTCTCAGATAAGGAGGCAGCATAGACTCTCAGAGGTGCTACAGAAATGAGAAATGGGCATCTAGCTTGCAGCCTCTGCAGCACAGGGTAGGGAGGTGATCAGGTGTGCTGCACAGGTAACAAGACATGCAGGGTCATCTGCTTAGTCCTCTATGTAATAGGCAGTCATAGAAATTGTAAATATGAAACAGATCACGTATTTCTTAGGAAGAAAAACGTCCAGTTAAAATCTTGGTTTGTTTTTCTGAGTGAAGGCTGAATCGTAAATACCAGCCAATGGGGTTTCTTTTCCTCTATAGCTTTATCACAGACAGACAGACAGACAGCCCTCCTGAAACCCTAACATAAACGTCACTGATGATCCCGTGAAAATAGCTCCCTTCACCCTGTACCTTTGCTTCCTTGCAAACCTAGACTCTAGATGTCCTGGTCATCACGGCTGGCCTGGTTACACTGGTACTGGAGGAAGATGGAACTGTGGTGGACTCAGAGGAGTTCTTTCAGACCTTAAGGGACAACACGCATTTCATGATCTTGGAAAAGGGACAGAAATGGACCCCGGTAAGTATAGCCTTGCTATGCAGACAACAGGTAGGTGTTGTACCCACAGGCGCACTGTGTCGTTTAGTGCTGGCTGAGCCATGTCCTGATCACATACTTTATGTACTCACCTCCTAGCTCAGCCACAACCCTCCAAAGGATTCTTGAGTGCTTCCAGAAAATTCAATGTCTCTGTATTATTCAAAACAAATCATTTTGAAGCATAAGCTTTGGCTGATGAGCTGGCCGAGGCAGATCAGCAGATATGACCTTTGTAACTGTTGATTTTAATGCTTGGGCAAGCTGGCATGGCCAGGTCGTGTGTGTGTGTGTGTGTGTGTGTGTGTGTGTGTGTGTGTGTGTGTGTGTCCATGTGCACATGCACTCATCAGCCTTCTGCCATTTTAATAAAATCATTGAGACAATTAATTTAGAAGAAAGGTTTATTTTGTTCACCATTTGGGAGGGTCCAGTCCATGATCAATTCTGCATCCTGGCTGAGGCAGCACACCCTTGCAGGAGCAAGCAGGGCAGCAAAGCCACACGTATTGGAGTTGGAGAGTGCGGTGAGCAGAGAGGAAACGGGAGCCCCATGGTCTTCCTTTTCCATCTTTGAGAAGGAGGATAATCCTCCTTCCCCTCCACAAATTGACATTTAAACAACAGAGTTGAGACACAGTCTGTGACCCAGGAACACAGATCCATGCCTGTGCACATGGCCCTAGAACACACTAGCACTATATAGCTGATGTATCAGACTCTCGTGCCCCCTTGTGAGTGATGGAAAATACTGGCAACAGACCACAAGTCCATCGCAGCAGGGTGGAGAGGTACACCCAGCCATCACTGCGTGTCCATTTCAGCTCACATAAGTTGACGTGCTGCTGCATACTTACTGAGTAAAATGCTCTTCAACCATGAAGACACACGAAGTGCATCTACAAGGCATCGTCTGAGTAAATCCCACGACTGTGTTGAGTGAGAATAGTGCCTCAGGCAACCTACCTTCAAGATTTTCATCCCAGGATTTATGAAAAGTAATGAAGACTCCAAGTATCTTTTGTTAGCATAGGTTACATCAATACAGTCAACAAACACCTGTCAATCAAAGTTTATTACCTGCGCATATTTTGCCCTGAGGAGCCGTGGAGTAGTATCTGAAGACAGTTTAGAATGTTAAACTAGGGTAGAGGACACAGCTGTCACCGTCTAGTGTGGAAACTGCAATGACAGTCTTTGAAACGAATATCATTGTGCCAAGGTTGAGAAACTTTAAGCCATACATACAGATGTTTCCAATAGCCAAAATTAAAACTGAGAAATTAAAAGATGTGTAGCAATTAGAAGCAACTAAGTTAAAAAAAAAAAGAAGTAACTAAGTAAAGGTTAGCTTGAACTACATATTTTAATAAGAAAATATTTTTGACAGAGAGTGGTGGCCCACACTTTTAATCCTAGTACTCCAGCTGATCTCTGTGAGTTCAAGGCCAGCCTGGTCTACAGAGCAAGCTCCAGGACAGCCAAGTCTACACAGAGAAACCCTGTCTTAAAAAAAAAAAGAAAAGAAAATATTTTCTTAAATGACCACTCTCTAAAACAAGAGCAAGGGATTATATTTTTATATTTTTGCAAATCTCTTTAATGTCTAGAAGACACTTGAATTCTCAGGTATGAGTCTGGAGAGATGGTTTGGCGATTAAGAACATTTGCTGCTCTTGCAGGGGACTCAGGTTCAGTTCTTAGCACCAAATGGCGGCTCACAACCATCTGTACCTCCAGTTCCAAGGGATCTGATGCCTCTCCTGACCTCTAGGTTAGAACATATGCACACACACACACACACACACACACACACACACCATAAATAATTCTCAGGCATACTTCTGCATTCACTCTGCTATACTCTATCGTTTGGGTGGAACTCTGAAGGAAGTCTGGCCTGACTGCAGATGTGTAGATGCAGCGGAAGGGAGGGTGCTGGTGGTCTCTGCGTACTGCTGAGAATGCGCTGCTTTGATTCTGCGCCGAGAGTCAAGTTGCCGGTTCCACAAAATTCAAGTGCATGGAGAACAGCAGACTGTAAGCAGTCCCGGTGGAGCTGGTCACTCTGCTCCACTAAGTGCCTCAGTCTGTCTTACACTTTGAAAGCATCTTTCATCAGTGTGGTCTGGGAACTTCATATTTCGGTCCTTTGGAAAATACCGACTTGCAGCAGAGGTGTAGTTTGGTGATGGGTGCACTTCACATGCACCAGGCCTGGGTTGAATTTCCAGCCCCCAAAGAAAAACAGCAGAAAAAGAAAAAGGACAAAAGAAAATATTGATTCATTAAGCTACATATTTTCGCTGGGCGTTGGTGGTGCACATCTTTAACCCCAGCACTCGGGAGACAGAGGCAGGCGGATCTCTGTGAGTTCGAGGACAGCCTCCAAAACAATACAGAGAAACCCCTGTCTCAAAAAAACAAAAAAAAAAACAAAAAAAACAAAAAAAAGCTACATATTTTCCCTAAGTGTGCTGTAGAAAGCCAGGATTTAGGAGAACAGAGAAGGACAATTGCCTGTAGCATTTATTGTGAAAACAGTCTTAATCCATGAGAGATCTTAACCCTGACCCTCCATCTCCAGACCACACCATAAGAACCCCTGGATTAAATCATTTCTAGCTAACTCAAAACAAGACACAAAATTAACAATATAGTGTTCACGGGAAAGAGGCGCAGCCAAGGTAACTTCCTCCTGAGGAGGCCGTGGGATAGCCAGAAGAGACTTACAGGACCCCTGGGGTAAAGTTTTGTTTTGTCTTACTACTACATATATATGTACACCAGCATGAGTACCTCATAATTTTTAAGATTATTTTATCTTATATATACAAGTGTTTCACCTGCATGTGTGTGTGTGTTAATTCCACAGGCACCAGGAAAAAGGCCCCCATCCCGAATCATGGCCAAACTAAAGCAAATTTTATTCATGTACTCGAGCTGCTTCCTCCTAAGGTGGGGTTTGAGAGATCAACACTGGTCATAGGGAAGATAAGGCTTTTGTAGCTCAGGAGCATGGGGTTTCCAAATGGGGGTCTTTGCCTGGCTTAATATCTCAGCCACTTTCCTGTAAGGTAGAGATGGTGACACCTCCTCAGAGTACAGATGGCCACCTTACCTTAGGAAGATTATCCCAGGACCCATTTGGACTGGAAGAAAATCTTCAACCAAGGAACAGCCACCAGATGTCTCCCTTGCTCAGTCTAAGGGCCCCCAACCCCCCCCCCCTGTCACCCTGGAAGAAGACAGGGTCTACTTGTAGAAGCCTGCATGCCCAGGTGCGAGGCCCTGCATCTTGGCTTACCACAGAGACTAAAGGCTTCCTGAAGAGAGAGTCAGATGAGCTTTGAGAAGCCAGAGAACCATGTGAGACGCCAAAGAATTGCTGGTGAGGTGACAAGTTAGTCGTGACTCATTAGTTTTGAGAAAGGTCTCTTTGCATAGCCCTGGCTGTCCTGCCGCTTGCTACGGAGAGCAGGCTGGCCTCAAACTCACAGAGATCTGGCTGCCTCTGCCTCGAAGTGTTGGGAATAAAGTCGTGAACCACTGTGTTCAGCTCAGACATGGATTTTGAAATGGTGTTTCCTTTCCAGATTGTGGATAGCTGGTATGCAGAGATGCATTGGGTGACAACCAGAATCACCTGTCATTTGTGATCTGGGTAACAGGAAGAGAGGGACACCAGCAGTGGCTTCAGCAAGAAGGGCTGGCACACTTTTAGGGGAATTTTTGTTTAAGTTTCAAATGTATTTGATTGTTTTCATTATGTAACATTCAGTTTCCAAGTACTCCCAACTCCAAAAGTCCCTGAGGCATAGGGACTCTTACATCATCTTAGCTTGACCCTGGATACAGTGGGACCTGTGCGGGGTGGGGGGGGGCACTTAGCAAAGCAGCTCACGACCTGGCTCCCCGCCCCTACTCCTACCCCCAGGACTGGAGACTGTATTGAATCCAGAACCTTGCACGCTAGGCAAGTTCCCTCTTGCTCAGCCACATCCCCATTTGCATCTCGGGACTTCTTTGTTCCCTTGGAGTCTACTGTAGAGCTATCTGCAAACCTAGGAGTGTGTGTCCCGCCCAACCAGAAGAGTCACCTGGTGTCCCTGGTGGACAGAGTGATTCTATAAGTGGTTAATGTTCCCACACAGTCATCTTTCCTCCTTAGCAGTTCCTGGAAAATAGGAGACACTCATTCCCTGAGTCTCAGAGTTCCAGCGTTTTCCTCATCAGACCTACTTATGAAATGAAACAGAAACCGTGCTTCCTGCTCCTCTCTGGCTTTGTGACAGCTACCGGAGGAGGCTGACCATGTCCTCAGATACTCAAGGAGTAGCTTCAGGGCTCCAGGCAAACAAGCAAGCCTGAGTCCCCTAAGGCAGGACCCTGAGCACCTCTGTACATCTCACACGGAGTTCTTAAAGCCAAAGCAGACTCATCCTGAGTCACTAAAGTGGAAGCTGATGAGGAAAGTGCATATTTAGGTGTGGTTGTACTATAACATGATGGCCTGCTGTAAACACGACTGGAATAATTACAGTTAGGAGACCAGCTTTGGCAATAACCCCAGAGTTGTGTGGTTTGGCTGTCTTGGCCAGTGTCGATCCTAAGTCTATCCCTATTGCTTCTTCATTGCTCTAGGGCAGTAAGTTTATCCCAGTCTACAAGCAACCAAAGAAATCGGGGATAGCCAGAGTTACCTTCGACCTATACAGGCTGAATCCCAAGGACTTCCTCGGCTGCCTCAACATCAAGGCCACCATGTATGAGATGTACTCGGTGTCCTATGATATCCGGTGCACAAGTGCCAAGGCCATGTTAAGGTAACAGTATCTGTATCCAGGGGTGTCTGGAAACACCCAGGTGTGGCACAGGTGACTCCTCCCCCTTGTCTTCTGCCCCAGGGCACAATAACAAGGCCCAGCTGGATCCTCTCGCGTCATCAGGTGTGCTCTGATGTAGTAGTCTTCGGTTTAAATCTTAGACTATAGGGCTGGAGAGATGGCTCAGAGGTTAAGAACACTGGCTGTTCTTCCAGAGGACCTGAGTTCATTTCCCAGCAACCACATGGTGGCTCACAACCATCTGTAATGAGATCTGGTGCCCTCTTCTGGCATGCAGGCACACAAACAGCATTGTATATGTAATAAATAAATAAATCTAAAAAATGTTTTAAAAAAATCTTACACTATAGACTTACATCAGAAAGTCAAAGTCCAGCTGGGGATATAGTCCAGTGGTAGAGCGCTTGCTTGGCATGTTAGAGGTCCTAGGTTCAGTATCTAGCAGTATGCACAAAAACACAGACACACAGACACATATGTATGTATGCACACACATGTGCACATACATATGTGCGCTCACACACACACATACACACACACAGGCACATGCACATATGCACCCACTCCATAGAATCTGGCCTGGATGTTCTGCCCAAAACTTAGGACAGCTGGAATGAAAACTTCTGGGACCAGAAAGAGAATAAGAACTCGAGGGAACACTTTTTGTCTGATTTGATCTAAAATAACACTAGTTTAGTCTCGGGACTGCTACGACAGGCAGCGTGCTTTCACTGTGAGGAGCAAGCTGGACCACCCCATCTCCCTACCATCCACTTGCAGAGCAGAGGATCATCCCAGTTTTTTCTACAGCTTTCCTCAGCTTGAGTGGTCTTGTCACCTTGAACTAAGGGACAGCTGCAGCAAGCCCAACACACCCACCTAGGCTGCTAGAGCCCTCGAAGAGCAAGCACTTGCCCTCAGGATCAGCTGAGTCTCTGTGGGGCACATGAGTTCCTCCTTAGGCTTTGAGGACTGTGTACCCCAATAGGTGGCCCTGGACCTGGATAGTACTGGCAGCCTACCCGGGAGTATCCAGACACTGTGTGCCCTGAAAATGGCATTCCATGGATACCACAACTCAAGCATGATTGTACTTCCTTGGAGCTTAGTAATATGGCGGCCTGGGGTGAGGTATTGCCACCATTCCACTCTGGCCAGGCCAGGGTTCCAAGCCTGATGTGTTTTCATCTCGTTCTGTTGCAGGAGTCTGCTTCGATTCGTGTCCTATGCTGCCCAGGTGGCAGGACAGTTCCTGGTCTACGCAGGCACATACATGCTCCGAGTGCTGGCGGATGCGGAAGAACAGTCTCCCAAGCCTAGCACCAAAGGCTGGTTCATGTAAACAGGTCACAGCTCCAGAGCCCAGGTGCATTCCTTTCTTGTAGATTTATAGGCTGTGGGATGCCAGGAGAAACAAAGGGACTTGGTGGCTCAGCAGCAGGATTCCTGCAGGGGAAGGGGACCAGAGAGGGGCCTTCAAGGGTCTTCAGACGAGATTAACAGCACGGCATCTGGGAGCAGCATGCACATGAATTAGACTGTGGATCCTTGTCTATTGTAATAAAGCAATCACCAGAGTCCCTTTAGTACATGCCGTGTTCCTTGCACACGGTTTGCCTCTTTGGAGGGGCCACACTTTCACACAGAACAAAAGCCAGAACCAAAGACAGAAAGACAGATACCGTGGCTGTTTAATCTTTCCTTTTAATTTTATTATATTGTCTTGGGATGCGGGGGTTGCCTATTATAAATCTAGGCAACATGCGTATGCAATGCCCCAGAGGGCCAGAAGATGGCATCGGATCTCTCCAGATGAGTGACAGTTGTGAGCCTCCTTGGGGATGCCTAGGCTAGACCCTGGGTCCTCTGGAACCTCTGAGCTGTGCTCGGGGCCCCACTGCTGTTTAATCTTTATCAATACTCACTGCAAAAGGAATGATCTGTCACATAAGCCACGGTTTTATTTGGTTCAGTTTGTCCTTCAAAAGGATCTTTTCCTCTTAGAAGTGTGTGTGTGTGTGTGTGTGTGTGTCTATGTGTGTGCACATGTTCATATGTGTGAATGCAGGAACTTGTGCGCTGTGGCACAGGTATGGAGAACAGAAGACAACCCGGGGGTCAGCCCTCACCTTCTACCCTGTTTGGAAAGTTGCACGAGTCAGACTAGCACAAGCTTCTCAGTCTCCTGTCTCCACCTCCACCTGACTGTGGGAGTGCTGGGATTTAGATCCGTGTTACATGCAAACCAGCGGTTCCCCGCCTTCCTAATGCAGTTCCTCATGTGTGGTGACCCCCAACCATAAAATTATCTCATTGTTACTTCATAGCTGTAATTTTGCTACTGTTATGAATCATAATGTAAATATCTGATGTGCAGGACATCTGCTATGTGACCTTCTGGTGTTACAACCTACAGGTTGAGAACCATTGATTGTATTGCATCAGGGACTCAGGTCTGCAAGTTTGTATGGCAAGCGCTCACCTACTGAGACATCTGCCCCCACTCTGCCCCTGCCCCTACCCCACCCTGCCCCTGCCCTGCCCCTGCCTGTGCCCCTGCCCCACCAAGGCTTTTAAGGAACCCCAAAGATCCTAAAGCTTAAGGATCTATACAAGGGGTCTTGGGGGAATGGGTCGGTTCAGTCTTGATTTTAGAAAGAAACAAAACTGTTGAAACTCGGGTTGGAAGCCAGTGCTGCCATGGCGTAAGAGAAGGCCTTTGGCCAGGAACCAAGCTCTGCCTAGCACTGGCCAAAGCAAAGGCCATGTTGGCTCTGGGTTCTAGCTGATGTTCAGCTGGGCATAGACCCTCAAAGCACCCTTGAGGGACCTGTTTGTCACCTGGTTCTTTGCTTGGAGATAGCTTTACCATTGGGCCACACTGCTCAAAGGGAACATAAGTGTCACCCTCAGCCCCAGTGTGGGAGGCTCTGGCTGTGCCTTTCCTACCCTGTCATCAAAGCCCAGAGTAGACTCCAGAGCTATGAGATGCTGTTTCCTGAGTGATCAGGACAAGCCCCGGGAGAGCCATCTGCTCCTGTTAGCTCTATCCTGCTGAGTTAGGTTTCCCTGGCTGTGACATTGCTGATGGAAACGGTGGCTTATAGGCCTAGTCCCAGCACTATGAACAGAAATGAAGAAACGAGCCCTAGGAGTCCCCCGTCTCTCCCCCCCACCTGCCACACATATGCTGTACAGTTCAGACGCCCTCCCCCACCCCTGTGCCCCACCCCCACCACAAGCCTGTCCTAGGCCTCACTGTGCCTGCCATGGGCAGACCTCACACCCCGCTGCCACTGTGGAAGAAGAGGCGAAGGGACCCAGGGCACGAACTTGCTCACATGCTGTTTTTCCTAGTGTAGGGACAGGCAGGCGTCGCTGGTGTCCACCACCCTCCTGATGCTGTCTGGCTCTTTCAGAAACTTCTGGAAAATGATAAGGCTGGGGGAGGAGGGAGACTTGCAAGATCTCTCTCTCTCTCTCTCTCACACACACACACACACACACACACACACACACACACACACACGTCCTGTGGATTTCAACCCTATAAAAGGAGCAAGGTGTCCGCCTTCTGCAGCCCCTGCAGTGACAGCCAAGGAGGGAAGGGGTGTGGCCTGAACGGGAGGCTTCAGAACCCAGTGCCCCCTCCCCTTTGGGCTTGCATCACTTCCCCAGGATCCCACCCCTCCTCAGAAGCCACTGCCTGGCTTCCAAAAAAGGAATTTTCACTTCAGATTGATCCTGTTGAGTCAGCCGGCTATTCAGTTGCCAGCCAGGGGGGCTGTCCTTTTCCTCAGGATGCAGGCGGGGTTGGGGGTGTGGAGGATGCTGCCAAGGGAGACCTAGGGAGGGACTGGGCTCTGGTCACCCACCCCCTCCCTGTGAGAGGGGGCTTGCAGCTGGGAGGACCACCTGGTGCTGGGAAACTCCTGAACAGGTGGCGGGTCTGTCTGCCTCTGTCCACAGCTCCCCAGTCAGCCATTGGCCCTGGACAGAGCAGCTTCTCCCAGAATTCTCAGGAGAGGAAGTCACAGAGGTTGGTGCTGTGTCATCAAAGGCTGCACAGGGCCCTTTAAAGAGACTTTGAAGCTGAGATGGGGCGGCGAACAATCACCCCGTATATGGAAGGGCCCCTGCAAGAGACAGCTCTCTGTCTCTGGTTCCGACTAGGCGGCGTGATTTCCAATGTGACACTTTCTCATTCTAATCTTAGCTTTTCTACATCTCAGAGAGAAGCAGGAGCGGGCTAGGTTGGCCCCAGTAGGAGAGGACTGTGCAAGGCACTGGATGCTACAATACTCAAGCCATTGCCGAGTCCACTCGTGCAGATGTCCCTGTCAAGGGCTGTGTGTCCCTGATGGATAAGGCTAGGCACAAGAAGAATACTATTAGCCGGGTGGTGGTGGCACACACCTTTAATTCCAGCACCCAGGAGGCAGAGGCAGGCAGGTCTTTGTGAGTTTGAGTCTCCAAGACTGGTCTCCAAGAAGCTAGTTCTAGGACAGCCTCCAAAACCACAGAGAAACGCTGTCTCAAAAAAAAAAATACATATATATGTATATATACACTATTTATGTCTGCAATAACAATTTAGAAACTTTTTAAAATTTTATTTTATGTATATGACTATTTCATCTGCATGTATGTCTGTGTATCATGTACATGTCTGGTGCCCATGATAGTCAGAGGAGACGTCACATCACTTGGAACTAGAGTTACAGATGGTTGTGAGCCACCGAGTGGGTGCTGGGAACTGAACCCAGGTCCTCTGTAAGAACAAAGGGCTCTTAAGCACTGAGCCTCCCCAGTCCCACCTTGATGTTTCTTAATGGGCCTCTTTTTTCTTTCAAACTAAAGCCATGTCCATTGTGGCTGTCACACACACACACACACACTAATGACTATAATAATGCTAATGACTATACCTTGGGGTCAGTGGGCCTGATCCAGAGCTTTCTGTAACAGCTGGCTCAGCACGTCATCCAAACCCTGAGAACAGTCTGGCCAAAGGTAGACTCCAGTGTGAATCCCCTACTGGGGACACCTGTGCTAGCCCAGCCTCTCTGTAAAATTAGGGTTCGCCTTAGGTGGACAAGGAATCCCATTCCTGGAAAACTCAGTTTGCACAAATCTTACCTTATTTTTATCATCATCATCATCGAGACAAGAGTCTCACTAAGTAGCTTTGGCTGTCCTGGAACTCATTCTGTAGACCAGGCTGACCTCAAACTCAGAGATCCACCTCGCTCTGCCTCCCGATATGCTGCGATTAAAGGCATGTGACAACAGCATGGAGTTTTGCAGAAACTTTAGATATGTAAACATCATGCCTTTGGTCAGCAGGCATCTCTCCATGGGCCACAATCCTGCTGTTGCTCTTTTAGAAAACAATTGTTTCCTACCGGACGTGGAATTCCACCACACTTTGTTATCAGCTGGGTTCCCGTCTCCTCCAAGTTCTTCCAGATCCCATAACTGCTTCCATTGGGCCTTTTTCTTATTTGTTTGGTGTTTTTGAAACAGGGTTTCTCTGTGTAACAGTCCTGGCTGTCCTGGAACTCACTCTGTTGGCCAGGCTGGCCTCGAACTCACAGAGATCCATCTGCCTCTGCCTCCAGAGTGCTGGGACCAAAGGCGTGCGCCACCACTAACAGCTTGTGCTTTTTCTTTTCCCCTGAATGACACCCCAACCCTGCCTATGCTTTTCCTTACTGCCAAGAAGCAAGCACATCCACATCCCGAGACACGCTGGGGCCCAGGGTGTGCTGGCTGCTTTCCCACAACCCCAGGCTTTTTACATGTGGGCCCTCTTCAGCCCGGGAGCCCTGCATGATCTCAGCACAGAGATGAGCCTCTGCCTCTAAGGACACCTGTCACCACACAGGGTCCTTCTGTCACAGGCGTCCTCCCCTTCCTGCCACTCCCTTTGGGACCCCTGCTCTTTGTCACAGTTATCTTCAGTTTTTCTCCAGAGTACATGAACAGGCTTGAGGCTGGCTGGCAGCCTACAGCCACACCTAAACCTTCCACAACCCGGAACAGAGTGGCTAGCAGAAGAGGGCTCCTTCAAGTCATTCCAAGCATTCCAAGACCCAATAGTACAGCACACACAAGTGCTTTTTGGCTTTGGTTTTACTTTCCTTGGTTTTATGAGACAGGGTCTCTCTACATAGCCCTGGTTGGGCAGGGACTCACTGTGCAGAGCAGGCTGACCTTGAACTCACAGAGAGCTGCCTACCTCTACCTCCCAAACACTGGGATTAAAGGAGTGCTCTACCATCTGGGATCATGGAGGGTTTTTCTTTTTTCTTTTCTTTTCTTTTTTTTGTTTTGTTTTTTTTGTTTTGTTTTGTTTTGTTTTTCGAGACAGGGTTTCTCTGTATTTTTTGGAGGCTGTCCTGGAACTTGCTTTGTAGACCAGATTGGCCTCGAACTCAGAGATCCACCTGCCTCTGCCTCCCGAGTGCTGGGACTAAAGGCGTGCGCCACCAACGCCCGGCATCACGGAGGGTTTTGATGGGCAATTTCCTCTTCTCCGTCCATTCCCTGTCACTGCCACTCCCTGCTGTTCTCTG